TTTCATTAACTTCAATTTTCAGAAGTGCACAAGAATTCTTCCCAAAAACAGTTGAGCAGAATAAAAGCAACTTGCATCGCAATTTTCTAAGGAGAAACTATCGATCGATTTGCGTGTTTAGTAGACTTGACCACGACTGGTCCAGAGTCGAAAGTGATCATCCCAGTCCCCTTTCTCTTTCTGCATTCTCTGTTCCTGAATATGTCGCTGATCACCATAAGAATGCTTCCTAGGGTTTTAAATTCGGGCCCCCAGAATGTAACGAGACGAGCAGTTTATTGTAATGGTAGTCAAGGCCGAGATGCTACTGCCTAATTACGCCTGATATGAATGCCCCAAGGAAGAACACGACAAGAAGAGTGCAACAACAGAGGTCTTTGAGTGTAGCTAGTACAGCATATTTAGAGCAACAAACCTGCGTAAACTATGGCAATCGGGCCAATCAGCTTCTGGTCTGGCGTGGCTAATGGCAAGATTGGCTGGTGACTCAACGGCTTATTGCCTGTCAGTATGCCTCGCCGCCTGTAGGCCAATCGATAGTCTGCCGTGAGCGCGGCTGCTTGCTGCATGCTATCTGCCTGCTAGCTGGGTCCTAACACAGTTCCCCTAAAAATGACTGGTAAATGCTATTACTGCTACAACAGCTTTTCTTTCGTAATGCGAATTTATATCTAGTGCGGTGTTGGGGGCCTCTCTGATCCTAAGTGAATCTGATTTTTCACCCTGAATTGAAAATTAATGTTCCTTTTCTGCATAGAAGAGTATAATTGTAACATTATACATAAAATGGAAGGTATCCGTCGGGCAGGGTGTCATGACATGATCGGAACAGAAGAGGCACGAACCGGTCCTGGTAAAAAGGCTGTTGGTGTATGTACAAAGGGGTGGGGGGATGGAATCTGTGCGCTTGGTATAAAATAAGCTCAGACCGGGGCTAGCAGATGAAGGAGCATTGCAAAGCATTCGCAGGTAATCCACAGAAAGAAATATTTGTCCCGAAGGTGAGGAGGCGAGAATGAGGTTTCAGAAGCGTTGAAATTATGTGGTTGTTTGGCAGGCTGTATGACTGACTGAAAGTCCTCGTTTTCTAGAAAGGAACACAATAATATGCATAAAAGGGGATAAATAAAGTAATCACGGTTAGGGATGCTTCAAACAGACCTCCCTGGCCGGTGCGCTAATATAAGAAGATATAGTATTTGGTCTAACATACGAAAACTCTCAGTTCACTCGGAAACCAAAGCAACTGCAGTGACAAAAAAATGCCTAATTAATAGTGCACGACTTTAATTGAAATTCAGTTGACCCAATTGTGAAAAATTCGCGGCCTCAGCATGAGTCGAACCCACAGAGCCGGGGAGGATTTGCGCAGCCAACGCTCTACCATTGAGCTACGAGGCTCCTCGTTTGCCGTGAATTTAATTACACTTGAGTCGCTTTACCCGCCTAACCTATTGCTAGTACAGAATCCACCAGTACGGAACAGTAAACAGACTG